TTTTTTTCCAAAAAATCAATAAATTTGTTGTTCATATCACACAGTACATTTGTTATTCATGAATTTTATTATCAATGAATCGTTAAAATCAACGTCCAAGGGCATTTTATAGAATTGTTGTGAAATTATAATCAATCTAAAAAGCAACATATATACTATTTTAACACGAATTAGGCTAATTTTAACGATGTTGTAACTATATATGTTTGTGAACCTTTTTATTTTAAGTTTCCTAATAGTAACAAAGCAGAGGTTACGATCTGGTAAAAGTCATCGGGTGATTCTGCACCATAGATCTATACAAATAACCATTCACATCCACGAAGCATACATAAACATGTGTGTTATCCTCCGTGGATCAACAACTGGTGAAGGATCACCCAATATAGCGTCTACAAAACCAGAAGGGGCGGACCCGTGAAATATTTTAGGTGGGGTAAGCTTCGGATAAAAATAAGAAAAAAAAATCTAGGATAAATAAATTAATGTAGTTTAATCTTTTCACATTAATTAATATAAATACTAAAATACTATTCATACGTCAAAAAAAATACAATTATTTATAAGTTGTGCTCTATAATACCTTAACGAGTAAAACTCCTCTGTTATTGATTTTGATGTTGATAAATACATATATATAAGGAATTACTTGGCGCATAGAAGATTGTGATTCTAATATTTCCTTGATATCATTCTAGAATTATAAGGAATCAAAGATGTTTACTGAAGAAGAATTAATCCAATTTCATGGAGTCTTCCAAAACACACAAGAATTTTTAGAGATCGACTACGGCTGCACACAGTGGCGGATCTAGCTATGGTCTAGGGGGTGCAGTTGCACCCCCTTGATTTTAAACAAATAGTACTGTTATATATAAATTTATCAAAAGGGCTATTGGTTGAGGTGGTAAAGATAATCTTCTTCCATAAATAGGTCGCGGGTTCGATTTCCAATCCACTCGAACTCTGATTGTTTTTCAAATCTCAACATTTTCACATTTTTTCACTTTAAATAATTCCACAATTCACCTAAAATTTATAAATTCTAAATTTTTGGTCCACCATTTTTTCAAATCTTAACATTTTCACATTTTTTCTCTTTAAATAATTCCACAATTCACCTAAAATTTGTAAATTGTAAATTTTTGGTCCACTATTTTTATAAAGTGCTATTAAATTTTTTTTTTCTACAATTTCGAACCCCCTTGGTAAAAATCCTGGATTCGCCACTGGCTGCACAAACCCTAGATATGGCGACACACCTGGAAAACTCAGAGTTTATATTGACGGCAAAATCGAGATTGACTGCACTTGCATGGACAATTGTCTTAAAGGTATACATATATATGAATTCAATATCTCCTTCTGGAATAGTTGTTTAATAATGTCGATCGATGTGCATATATATATATTCAATTCATATTTCTTGCACGGAATAATATATTTAAATCAACTAATAAAATGCATGGTATAACTATTTGTGTGACTTCATTGAGTTAATATGTGTTTTAATTTAATTCTATGTTGCAGTTAATATATC